GGCTTTAACAAGGCTTTAATAAGCTCAACAATAGAGGTTCATGAGAAAACGTGTTCATAATGAATGGAAATAAATAATTAAATTGTGTCCATCACAGTCTCAAACCCTGGTCTCCTGCTCTCTGGTCCAACACTCTACCCATTGCCCTATTGGAGGCTTGTTGTGAAATGAGCTGCACATTACACAACAACAACCATGACGGTTTTTTATACTGAGGAGGTGAAGCTTCGCCCGGGGGTTTCTAGGTGAGGGGCTGAACGCAGGTTCAGGTGGGTTGTCGTACGGCTTGTGACATCACAAAATAACTGAAGTATAAAACTTGTCGTTAATATACATTAAAAATACATTTACTTACAGTAAATATGACCCTGGGTGCATTTTTTTTGGTCCTAGGACTTTTTTTTTAAGAAGTACATACCCAAAATTGAGTAAAAAAACCTTTAAAAAGTGAATTTTGCATAATAGGTCCCCTTTAAAACAGAAACAAACAAAAAAAGGGCTTATTTTGTGATTTTACGACTATCTAATCCCCCACCTGAAGGGGCGCTTGCCTGGCAGCTCTGCATGATAAAACACAAATTTCTGTGAACAAAAGGCTGAAACACAGAGAAGTGTATCCATAAATGAGTTGTATGATGACTGTCGCTCTGTGACCAAAGGCTTTGTAAAGATACTTTGTGTGGCTTTTGACCAAATAAAGATCTTTTACTGAATACATGTTGACTACTGCCTCCACTTCACCTCCATTTCTCTCAATAAAAAGCCAAACAAGACAACTTTCATTCTATTAGTGTGTTGTACAGTTGTTGTTCTGTGAGCAGAAAGGTTTTTTTCCCTCCTGAGTTTTAATAAAATCTGTGCTTTTTTTCTATGAGTTCCCGTCCTCGGAGTATTCCTTTAAGTGAGGGGTGGGTGGTGCTACGACTTTGATATCGCTTTTTACTTGTAATGGGATGTTTATTGAAAAACTTTGATATGGCGAGTGCCCCTTCTGGTGGTAAAACTGATTATTTTAGGGATACAGTATGTTGTCGCGACCTGTCGTGGAATATGAACAAGGCTTTTTTTTAAATTTCTGCTTTAAAGTAATTTTCTTTTTTGCTATCTGAAACAGAAAATGACACTCAAATCATTTTTTTTAAATTCACTCGTTTTTGACACTAAGAACGAGAAAAGATTTGTATTTTAATTTTAATTTCAATATTTTAAAACAAAAATCAAATATCCACACGTTTTTTTGATACCCAATTCTAAAATAAAAATCCAATGACCAAAAGATTCCTTGACCCATAATGAATGAATAAATAAAATTCACCTTGTTGTTGCTCAATTGTGTCCTTTATTCAGTCAGTCTCTCTTACATGTTACATACTGTAGTTCTGCAGAGAAGCTTTTAAGCCAAAATTACTTTATCTTGACACAGAGTCACACACTTGAAGTTCCTGGTAAGAAATCAGGATTACTGTCAAATTGTTGCACAACACAAATTTTAATTAAACATATTGAGAGAAGAGTTTTTATATCCTAACATCATTTAAAGGTTAAACAGTTCAGATTTTTGTGTCTTAATAAAAGTTTGTTTCAGGTGTGTGACTGTTACTGGTCGTCTCTTTTGCAGCCTTTAAACACAAGTAGAGTTTCAAAGATATATTTCATTATCATTTCAAAGGCATCATACAGTCATTTCGCTAAAGCATTGATATTTCACAGATTCAATTTCCTGACGTTTTTTTTAACAGACTTTACTCGGCAGCCACTCACACTCAAAGATCCCCAACAGAAAAAAAACAACAACAACCCACCATCGTTTRATTTAGCTTTTTTTAAGACGACCACATTCAAAAGACAGATCAGTCTAAAATGTCATCTCATAACTGCTGGAAACATAATTAAATTTTTCTGTTTCTGTCTCCATAACATTATCTATCTGTCCCAGTGAAAGTCTTTTTATTGAAAAAACCCTCAGCCGCACCGGCACATGCATACAAAGAACCTCACTCAGTTGATGAAWGTAAAACGAAGTAAAAAGACACTTCCTTTTACATCTCACACGTTGCTAACATCTTTTTTTATTATTTCTGTTTACGCAGCAAAAAAAACTCTCATAGCAGCTGATTCTAACAACCTCACATGCATTAATAGAAACCTGTCCTCTCTGTCCTCTCTCTATTTTTATTGAAACCAAGAACTGAGGTGAGAATGACAAAATGTCACCTTTTTACTGAAGAAAAAAAAGCAAGAAAACACATGAAGAACAGTTTGACAGCAGTGATGTTTACCAAATATTTCCTCTTTAAAGCTGTGATTAAAATGTGCCCAGATAAATAAAACATTWAAAAAAAAAACACGAGGTATWTGTTACATGTTGAATTGAAACATGTCAGACAAAAGGAAACAGCTCTATTTCCAGGGTGACGGCTTCTTAACTGCTGATTGTTTCATATGATTCATATGCTTTACTTCCTTTCAATGTGCAAATGCTCAAAAAATAGTTATTTACATCAAGCACCTTCGGGGAAACAGTTCCACCGAAATAGTTAGTGTCTTTTTTAATAAATATGTTTGAGTCACAATCTGTTTTATTTTTGGCACTCAGTGGCAACATTGTTTTTTTAATCACTTTTTTTTAATCACCATGGTTCTGCTCAACCGTAGGCTTTGCTCACTCTAAGCTACAGTAATCTGAAACAACAGTTTAGTTTTCAACACGAACCCTTAGATGAGCTTCGAGAAAAGAATCAGCAYTGCAGCATTCAAACTTCATGTCTAAAACTGGTTATTTGTCTCTGACGTTACCGATCTTACAGAAGAACAGTCTGTCCAAACTGTTCAAGCACATAAATTTAAAAAAAAAAAGATCAGGGCCCATATTTATAAAAATTTTTTAGAATTACTCTTGAACGCTTCTAAGAGTGGACTTAAGTGTAAAATAATTCTTAGTTAAAAGTTGAGAGTAAAAGTCAGTTATGAAGCCTCTCAGTCTTACTTTAAGTGAAGTGTAGGAGTAATTCTTAAGTGTCAGTCTTAGAGCTGATTTGCGACACCTGGCTGTGCCACAAAGCTGATCCTGGATGACGTCGTTAGAAAAAACCCTGACATGGACCAATCACTGCCTTGGATTTTATGTTCAAGAATATTGTTGGAGAAATGTCAAGATAAAACTGTGAAAATGCTAAGACAAGTTCACTTTCAACACACTAATGTTGTCACCTTGTACTGATCGTCTGTAAATTACATAAAATGTTCTCATTTGCATCACGAGAACAGTTTTTTAATCAAAAATTCAGCAGCTTTAAAGTTTTTTGTCTCAGAGCCTGAGGTAATGTTGAGCAGCTCCCTGCTCCTCTTCGCCACTGTCAGACAACACCAGCTTCACACACACATGCACACACACAACCCCGCTCCGTCATTAACAGCTTGGTCCGAGAGGAGCAATAATTTTACTTTTATTTCTTTTGTATGTTTGATTAAAACTGTTTTCCACATCTTATAACTGAGAATAACACTCAGATGGGGAGGAAGACTGTGTTCTCCTCTGTCTTCAGTCCACCTCAGACCCCTAGTGGCAACTCTTAACCACTTAACTGTCCTCTGGAGCAGTCTGAACTTTTCTTGAGAGTAAGAGTGATTCTTAGACTTAAGAATTTTGATAACTGGCACTTACACTTAAGTCTGAGAGTAGGAGCAAATCTAAGAAATTTTCAGCACCTAAGTCTAAAAATCCACTCTGAGAAGTTTTATAAATATGGGCCCGGGTTGATCTTCAGTATTTGGCTTCTGAAGCTACATTTTCTGCTGGACCATGTTTCCAAGAGATCAAAACAATCAGTTCAGACCTTTTAAAGTGAGCTTCTGTGGAAAAGGCTTTGAACAACTAGGATCTTACTTGCTGTAGATAGTTTCTTAATCGGACTCAGTTTGGAAAAAAAGAAAAAAAAAAGAGTTGTTTTCCAATAAGATTGACAAGCTAAAGGCTAGTCTGAGTGGGGACAATRCTAAAGTGGATTGCTGCCATTTTAAAACAATTCTAGCCAGGTGGCTGAGTGGTTACAGCAGTCATCCTCCAATCAGAAAGTTGATGGTTTGACTAGCCAAGTCCTAAAGGCGCATGTTTCCTGTAGTTGGTTTGGGTCGAGGCCGATCTGTATTCATACCAGAAGTAAATCCCACCAGAGTTAATTTGGAAGCAGACAAAGAGGGTTTTGGTCCGTACCAGGGTTCACGAGTTTATTCACATCTGCATAAAAGATCTGAGGGAAATGGTGGAAAAGAACTCTGGTCCGTTTAAAGCAGATCAAATGTGTCAGGTATGAAAACACCCTAGAATGATTTATCTGGATTAGCCTTCAGCAGAGTTGTAGTAGAGTGCTGTGTGGACGGGAAATGACTGATTATCCTGGATGGATAGAAAGGTGCTATCTAAGTACAGCACGTTTACAATTTACCAATCTCAAATTATGTAATTTGTTTTTATTTGGAGCCTTTCTGGATTAAAAAAAAAATCACAAGGTGCCGCAAATCAGAATCGCATAAAAGACATGATGAACCAAGTTAAGGTAAATTAAAAAAGCTAAAATAAAGTCAGACGAAAGCAAATGATATAAAATGCTACTAAAAAACAATCTGTTTAGTTGAGTTTTCAGCTGTTTCTTAAATCACWGGAAGGGCTGAGTCCCAGAGCAAAGACTGCAAAGGTTCTGAACCTTTAGTTTTATTAACCATTTAATCTCAGAGTCCTGGTGTTGAGAGAAAAGTTCAGAAATGTATAAAGGTGTTTCACCGTGCAGAGCTTTAAAAGTCCAAACCAAAACCTTGAACTGCGTTCTGCACTGGACAGGAAGTCAGGGCAGAGCGGTCCACAAAGGTGAAACGCTGGAGAACTTGAAGCTACAGTTAGAAGCTGACGATTCCRTGAAGTTTTCATAAATTAGGTTCAAACTGAACAGCAGTCGACTACATGGAGTGGAATAATAATGCAGACGTTACTTTATAAACATGTACACTTCTGTCTACCTCACGTTACAAGGTCATTTACATAGAATAAACATATTTACATCTGCGGTTAGTTGCAAGCACAAACTGTGGGGGCAGCAGCTAGCTGTAGCACTTCTGGCAGAGCCTGGGAAACTTCCAGCAGAAATCTCATCAAAAAATATGTAAAGCAAAACTGACAGAAGTATAAAAGTTTATAAAAACATTGAAATGAATTACTTTAAACTGATTGTAATCAACTCCGACTAGCCTTAAACTCATCAGTCCGAACACAGGCTGCTGATCTATGAATATTAATTGTTCACAATCTTCCACAGAACCCTACTTTACAAAGATCCAAACTATCCCTTTCATAGATTTAAAAAACTAGAATAAAACACTTTTTTAATCTTTTCACAAGCTTCCCTCTAAAAATAAAGGCTGTCTTACCTTCAGCCTTAATTGCACTCCTGTATGTTTTAGAACGTAAATAAAAATGTTGATGCTACAATTGTACTGTTTTKTAAATCTGGTGTGTATTTAAAGGAAATGGATCTGAATGAAGATTCAAAGCTGGATTTCTCTGTGAGCAGAACTTGTTTTTATTTTCTCTCTCTTCTACGGTTCTTTTAACGTGCAACTTACAACACTGCAGGTCAATGCCCTGCACCTGCGCAGCAAAACGAGAGATTTTTATCTTTAACRGGTGAGGAAACCAAGTGATTCAAAGTTTATGAATTAGATTGGGGCGAAGCTGTCGTTTACAGGTTTCGGTATCAGTGCACAAAAAGCTGGCAGGAGGCAGGTTGTTTTTTTTGTGTGTTTATCTTTTGGTGGAATATGAATAAATAAAACATATATGGTTATAAGTTGGACTTATGGTTACAAGCTATGAGGTGAAATGATTTTGTTGTGAGCGTTATTTTCTGTGGTTTTAGTGACCTTACAACAGATTACAGAGATGTTTGTGTTATTCTGACTAAAACGTTTGATGTTTTGTAAATTAATTATTCTATACTTGCTGTTGACAATCAGTTTATTAACTTTCCTGAATTTTCATCTCCTCGCCTCCTCCCTAAACTTTTTTTTAACTTCTCCTCGACTGATTTGCACAAACACCACAAGACGAAACGATGCGACTCTGTGAATAAATATGTAAACGTGGAGCTGCTGTGATTATGGGTGTGTATATTGCATTGTACTGTTAGCTGGACGCAGCAGACGTCACGTGAGCGCAGCCTCTTTTTAGCGGCTGGATGAAGAAGKGTCAAGATCTCCCGGAGCTGGAGGAAGAAGGCGGAGAAGCTGAAGACCTGTCGGTTTCTCTCTGGTCGCTCTCGTCTGATGAGCCGGGTGCAGCAGGGTTACTGCGAGGGAACGGAAACATCACGTGATGTTTCGGTTTATAGTCTTATGACAGAAATATCGCATATCGGAACTTCTTGCGATAGTCTGTGTTGAAAAACAGGGCTCAGCACAAATGAAACACTGTAAATTTTATTTCTAAAAAAACATTTTAACATGATAGTTCTCCACATACAACAATATTGGAGTAAGGCGAATATGTAACTAGTTGACATGTGGATAGAAGAACATGTCTGTGTGTGTGTGTGTGCGTRTGTACCTGTCTCCACTCTGTGTGATGAGCCTCCTGCAGGTCTCCATTTGAACATCCAGGCCTCTCTTCATGGAGCACATCTCCATGTACTCGTGCAGGTGTCGGTTCATGTCACTCTTGGCTGTGGCCAGCTCCAGCTGTGAAACGTGTTCCAGATATTTTACTCCACAAAATCACAYGCAGATAATAACTGCAGTTTAGTGATGCTTTGGTTCTATTAAAGATTGTTCAATAGAAATATTTATGTCACCMCAGGAAAGTTTTTGCACATTGGTGGGGAAAAAAGAAACTTGGTTATCAAATTAATTAAATATGGGGCTTAGTTTAAAACAAGTGAGTAATAAAACACTATTTTAATTTAATACAAAGTCACTGTGATGATCATATACTCAACTTTCATGCTTCAGATCATTGCAAACTCTAAGTTTTTGTAAGAAAAGCATGACATGTAAAAAAATCTGATTATTAATTATTTTTGAAGGGATCCATGATTATTAGTTGTAACATACTGTATTTGATAAACATATATTTTAACTGTAAAATAAAGACTGTAAAAATACTGTAGGCTGTTTAGTTTTTATAATTTTTAAATTAAAAATTTAAAAATATATTACACAGACGGGGCCATTTTATTTACACACAAAGCATTCTGGGTAAATGATGACGTGGATAGGTCCTTGGTGTGAGGCTGCTAGCGAGCTATATCCACCCTGAAGGTTAATCTTGGACAATATCTGATGATTGGCTCTTAAACGAAACCAGAGAGCGTTGACAGAGAGGAGAAGGTAGAAATGACTCAGCCTGTAACTGAAAATATAGATGGAGGACCTCAGTTTAGCTTGTTTGTCACTCTAGCGCTGAGCTAATACATATAAGGCAATATAGCGTCAGCACTAGCGCAAAGGCTAACAGGCTAAGCTGAGGTTCTTCTTCCATGAAGCAGCTCTGTTGTCCTCCATCCATATTTTCAGTTACAGGCTGAGTCATTTCTACCTTCTCCTCTCAATGTTCCCTGGTTTCATTTAAAAGAGTCGATCATCAGATATTGTCCAAGATTAACCTTCAGGGTGGATATAGCTCGCTCACACCGAGGACCTATCCACGTCATCATTTACCCAGAATGCTTTGTGTGTGAATAAAATGACTCTGTCCGTGTTGAAATTTATTTTTAAAAATTTACAAAACTAAACATCCTACAGTATTTTTACAGTCTTTATTTTACAGTTAAAATAAATGTTTATCAAAAAAAGTCTAATGTTACAACAAATCGGGGATGCCTTTAATTAACAACAAAACTAAAAAAAACTGAGGGTCTGACCTCAATCTGGTCAATTGTCTCCTGATATTCCTTCTCCCGGGATTTGAACAAACATTCAGTGTCGTTAATCACCTTTTCCAGACAGTCCTCCTAAAAACAAAAAAACAAAAACAAAAACAAAATAACACACAAAGTGTGGGGAGTTTTTCAAACTTTTATAAAATGTCTCTTCATCAGACAGTCAGACACCAGAAACTCCTCTATCCAACCACAGCTTGTTTGATTCCAGCTCAGATTTCAGAGACTAACCAACCGTTCCCTGAGAAACGTAAAGTAGCCAGTGACTGAAAWCAAATACCTGCCTGCATTTATAGGAAACAAAACAAAATGTACACCAGTTCAGGTTACTGGARTCACTTTACAGTCCTGAAACATTCTCACTGCAGAGAGAAACTACTAAATAACACCCCAAAACAACCTTTAACATTCACTTAAAATAGTGTAAGAGTTTTAACATCATTTTACTAACAGACAACTTGTCAAAAACACTGTGGGAAAATAATCTTTATTCTACAAATCACAAGTCTGAGTTAGTTCATGATRAGTAACTTGAGTAACTTTCGCTCACAGCTTACCTCTCCTGGTGGGTGGGTGGGATCTGGGGGCAGAGTGCAACCTGGGAAGTCCTCCCAAAGAAGCAGTGTCTCTTCAGTCTCCTCCCAGGCCAGACTGTCGCAGTCGTCCTCAAACTCACATTCCCGCCTGTAAAAACAACAAAACACACATATAAGCGCACATGAATGAAAGAATCACTRGACGCAGGACGTCTGACAGACAGAGCCCTCACAGCTGGGTCAGCATCCTCTGCATCTCCTCGTTGATCTGATTGGCCGACGAGCCGAAGCGCTCCTCCTCTTTAACCACACCCACGTCACTTTCAGAGGTGCTGACGGGTTCGTCGCACTCGCTCCCGTTGACGGACAGAGGGGTTTGTTTACGCCGGAGACTCAGAGACGACTGGTTGTTCGGAACCTGCGCAGAGATTTTTCAAAGTTCAGAAAAATCTGACAAACACAATCGACATTTACCGTGATGGAGAACTTTATTTTTCCATCCGGTACCTGGTACATCTGGATCACATCCTCACAGTTCCTCTGCTGGGCGACATCACACAGGCGAGCGGTGATGTCGATCCTGCGGCAGATGTCCATGTCCACTTTCATGGCTTTTTCCTGGATTTTACTGTCCAGCTCRGACAAATTCTGCAGAAGACAAAAAGTAGTTTAGAGGAGAAACAATAAGAGTTTTGGTCTTTCTTTTTTTTAAAGAATCATAACTAAAATAAACTGAATTGACTTCAAATGTTAATCAGCTGTAGATCTACACACCACCACACAATTCATTRATTTGATAATTGAAAGGTGGTTTGCGGACAAAGTTCAACCTCACCCGTTTCATCTTCCTCAAACCGAGAGCTCGTTCTATCGAACACGTTGCCAATTTTTGCACATTTAGCTGCCCCTGTTTCCAGAGGATTCCTCTCTAACCTTCTCCGCATGAGCTAAYGTGGTACATCAGGGCGCAAAACAACAAAGAAAAAAAGAAAAGAAGAGAGGGCTGCCAGCTAGAGGCAGAGGCAGCTCAGGTTCTATGGCAGGCCACTGTAACATAAATGAACCCCATGCCATAACTAACATCAGACCGGCCCACCAGAAATGCTCCCAGTTCTCCCRATTAACCACACCAGGGGCCTCATGTACAAAGACTTGCATGGATTTCTWACTAAAACGTGGCGTACGGTCAAATCCAGAAAACAGCGTACGCACAAAATATCCAGCTGTAACAAACCGTGCGTACGCCTGAATCCTACACATTGCTTTTGTACGCCTGAATCCTACACATTGCTTTTGTACATCACAATTAACGTGGAACTGAGCGCAGGTGAGACACCTCCCCTGGCACTCCTTCATTTACATATGTTAAACAGATGCAAATTACTTCCWGCATGTGTGAAGGACATGTTTGTTTGATCCCTGCGTCATCGTAGATCACAAAATTCTGTTTATAAATAAATGCTACACCTTTTATTATATCCTCCAGTAAGGCTGAATCCATTCCTGTTAAATGTATTTTTGGCACAACTTTGCACGTCCATGTGGATGCAATAATTTTTAATTATGTGCATCTGGTGTGAACAATCATTTTCATATCATGAACAGTTTCTCAGAATCATCTCTTAAGTATCCCCAATGGAACCAGAACCACAGAAACCTGCGTACGCCAGCCCTGGAGTTGGCGTGGGGCTGCACACATTTCCACGTTCATTTCAGTTTTGATACATCCAGAGTTTTGTGTGGAAAATGGGGTACGCAAGGATTTTGTGCGTACGCACCATTGATACATGAGGCTCATGGCCTGCATCCAATGATTACTTTCCAACGGTTAAAGTTAAATATTTTGACAAAGATCTCACTCATGGAGTATGTGCTGTAAATGACTCAAATGTTTACGAGTGAGTTTGTTTTGACAGCAATTTTGAACCATGTGTTGAATCCATAAGATAATTAGTTGTGGGTGTACATCCAATGATAAGTCCCTGAAGGTTTCAACATAGTTCATTCAGTGGTTCACAGTATATTTTGCTGACAGAAAAAGTCAACTGAACGTAGGTAATGATGATTTTAAAATAATGATTTTGCAGTTAGCATTCAGAATATGTGATGGGGATCAGTCTCGGCTACTCACTCTTTACAGGCAGAAACCTCACCTGCAATCAGGCCAGCCATCTGCAGGTGTGATCAGACCACATCCTTCCTCTGAGAGGGAGAGGTTTGCTCTCTCCTCCCTCTGATGCCGGCTGCCTGGTGGCCTCCCTCTACAACTAGCCTTTAGTTTTAATAAACCTTTAAAGTTAACCCCACCTCAGCATTTCCTCTCTTAAAGCTTCTTCCCTTTGAGCCAGTGGGTCATAACGGTCAACATCTGTAAAACTGACTGAGTTATAGACATTTTTGTGTTYTCTAAGATGAACTGGCATAGGTGGCCATCTTGAATCAGGTTGATTCCAAAGCTTTATAAGTTGTAGTTGCACATACACCCATTAATCACAGTGAGTCTAAAATCAGGTGCGTGTGTGATCAGTGCACGAGTGTTTGAGCGGCGTCTGCTCACATTGCTCATGAGGCCTTTGAAGAGGACCAGCTCTGCCTTCAGCTGCTGCACCCTGAGCGCCAGCTCGTCCTGACAGCCTTCGCTCTCCTGCAGGTCCTGCACAGACGACAAGAACACCTGTGAAGCCCTCAAACCCACACGGATGTCCTTCTAGTCAAGACCGTTCTCRTCTTCCTGCTGATTTACTCTAACTTCCTGCTGCACCGTCTCGGGGTCTTTTTATGCTCTGGTGGTGGTTTTTGTTGTCTGGTTTCTCCAGACAATGTGGTGCTGCCACCTCAATGAGGTCAGGTGAAGATTCCTGGCAGAGCGGCATGTGAACCTCTTAAGAAAAACCAGCAGACATGTGCACATACAGGAAACCATGAAACAAGACACACGGCTGTAGGGAGCRCAGGGTTGGCAGTTTGATGCTCAGTGATAAGCATGCAAGCTGCATTTAACAGATCTTTAATTCATTTATGGGAAAATTTCACCTTTTATTAACAAATGAGACAAATTATTTAATTAGTGGAAGATCAGTGAAGATGAGAAGATAAAAACTGCTACAGGTCTTTTAAATCTGTACTTTTTGTCCAAGCAGAGAAGAGCTACAGGGAACATAAAGATTTYATCAGAACCTGCAAAATGTGATGCTCAGAACTAAACAGCTCAATTATAATCTGTATTGTTTCTTTATTATAACAGAACTTCACACCAAATCATATACTTCATATTTTGTAATTTGGCTTTTACCTCCTAAAATGTCAATAAATAAAAAAGTCATGCAATATTTCACATTTACCTCTTGTAAGTCTGAAATCTTCTGCTGCAGATCCATCCTCATAGTGTATTCCTCCTCCCATCTAAAAGAAAAACAGATCAGTGAAAAGTTTTGTTTTTTTTTATTAAAAGCAAAAACAAACTTTAAAATAATTTTAAAGTCTCTGATTGGAAAATAATAATTTGGATGTCTGCTTATAACTGATCAGAAAAGTGCTATATAAAAAGGTCATCATTGTGCTCCCATGCAATGATGACATTTGTGCTCTGCATTTAACCCATCATACGACATACACCCAAGTGGAGCAGCGGGCAACTACGAGCAAGGCGGGGAATCAAACCTGCAACTTTCCAGTCACAGGTCATCTGTCTTGGTACTGATCCATAGCCACAAAGTAAAAAAAWATATACAGTATATAGAAATAATTTCTCACTATTAAATTGTTGTTAAGCTGTTCAACTCAGCTGTTCAAGATGGTCACCTAATCACCTTTAAATTAAACCTTGTTTGCAGCAGGAGTGAAATCTTTATTTACTAAACTTCACATAAATCTATTTTAAACTTTGTGACATGATACAAAAATCCATGATTTGTCTTCACTAATAAAGTGAAACAGTTAAGTCACAACAAGAACCATTTTAAATTTTAATATTTTATTTATTATTTTATTTATATTATTCTTTGTATTTTCTCTGCAGCTTTAACAACTACATCTATTTCCATTTCCAGCAACATAAAACTGAACTACACCCAGTTTACAGAAAAGTCATCCTGAAAAACTTACTTCATAAATGAAAACATTCAATTAGTAACTYAAAATCTTAAGTAAATCAACTCAGTTTGCCAGAGTTAAATGGGAAACGTGTGAAACCACCAGTGAGCGACTTCCTGATCATTTGCAGACTCCTGTGATGCAGCTGCTCGACTCCTCATCCCTTCTAAATAAATAAATAAATAAATAAATAGATTCTGAACTTGAACAGATTTAAAAGCCTGAGCCCAGACTAGATATCAGACTGTGTGGCTTCATGCTGAACATGTTGTGGTGGTGGTGGTGAGGAAATCCACCAGCTGCAATCTGCTAAAACGCTGTTTGTGATGCAGAATGCTGCGGAACACTGAACTCCTCAGGGAACAGTAAATCTGAAACAATCTGAGTCATGAAACCGGGGCCGGGGGGGCTTTCTTTTGATCGGTGAARGGCACAAAGTCGAGAAGTGCTTCTTTCTGCAGGCTGAGTCCCCCCMMCCCMMCCCCCTYCAGCAGTTGCAGCTTGCAGTGCAATGCTGCATTGCAGATACAGTGGAGAGAGGAGAGAGGGGAGACGCTGCGCAATGGAGGAAATGTGAGCAAAGAGGAGGAAGTGGAGTGGAGGGAGGGGAGGTTGTGTGGTTTACTCAAAAAAAAAGAAGCTGAGATGGAGAGTGCGGTGGGAAAYCTAGAGGAGGGGGACACCAACGGAAAGAGGGTACAGGTGGAAAAACGGAAGACAGAAAAGTTGATCTAAAAAGGAATGAATTCATTTCGCCCCCCACAAAGTTTCAAACAGATCTMATGTGATCGTTAGTGCTCAGAGTACGTAACGGACAAAAGTTTCAGCAACAAACTCAACAAAATTCAGTTTATTATAAAACTATGTTAGAGCCATCTTTGTGATTGCTAACTGAGCCGTGGCAGCTCGAAAAGTTAAYCAGTTGTAGATGTACATCSTGACTACTTTTGATGAGCTTCATTAAAATMCATCCAKTGGTTCACGAGATATTTTGCTAACAGGCAGACAGGATTGAAGCAATAATGCAAAAGTTTTGGAGTATATGATGGAGATGAGTCTTAGCTACTACCGCAACAAATTTTAGCTGAATATYTGTTRAGTTGACTGAGGTTAAGCCATTTTTCACTTTGCTAAGGTGGGTCAGCTGTAGCAGCTRTTATGAATCGGGCTGACTTTGATGATTTTTTTTTTTTTTTGGAGAATTTCATTAAAATTTATCCTGACAGAYGGATATATAGAAGTACACACAGGTGATTACATCATCCCTTGCCTTTAATGGCGGCGGGCGGTAAAAACTCCAAACTGCAGCAACAAACAACACTGGTTCCACTGCCTGAGCGTAAACAACAACAAGAGAAAGATCCCAGCATGAAGAAACACTGACACCACATTCAGGTGGCGTTCTGAGATTAACAATCCCCCCGTATTTCAGATGGACACGGGTAATTCAGTCTGACATTCTTGAGCTGCTGCAGTCGTTCCTCTGCCTCATCCACAAAGAAGCCCCTGTAATGTGGTCAGAAGCTGCAGAACTGCTCATTCGGACCTAACATGAAGGAATGCAGTGATGAGGGAACACGAGGCCAACTGAAGGTCGYGCAGAAAAGATAACAAGTGATTGTTGGATGGCTTCCACGCTCATACCACAGAACAGGAGCTTAAAAGGTGTAGCCAACTGAATGGAAGYTTATATAACCTTAGCACAAAAAATAAGAAATTATTTGGTAGATTATTTCTTTGTTGTAACAATGCTTCTTGGAAATAAATCGTATATTGGACACCAAATTGGCAGCACCTGAARGTACCAGAAGCTCAAAACAAGTGTCAAGAACAACAGCAAAACAAACTGGCAGAGAAGATTTGGCAAAATTTTCATGTGCACAACCCACATACTCAGCCCTACTGCTCGTCCCACAAATGCATGTTCCTTACAAATCTGGCACCATTTAMAAAGGTAAAYTAACAGGCTTTCTAACCATATAAGATTTATTGCCAAGAAGCATTATTACAACAAAGAAATAATCTGCCAAACACAAACTTCCTTCTTTTAAGTACTAAGTTTATTCATCCTTTACACACAACTCTGTCTGCAATGTCATACAGTCAAGTTTTCTCATATCTGTGTTCCTAACTGGAAAAAAACTGCAAGCAAACTTTGTGAACTGCTGCCAGCTACCAGAGAGTTTGTTTAGCTACAGAAACGGCTGAATTGACTGAAAGTAGATCAACATTGTCAATGTTAGGGYTGGGCAATAAAACAATAACATTATCATGATAGATATAATACAGATAGAATATGTCTGATCACACGGCATTCTGGGGGATATAGGCAGAGGACAGGTTTTAGCCTCCCAACCTCTCACGGCCCAGCAAAGCAAGGTTGGTGGTATCAACTAACTCARTGACTCTTTGGTAAGCTAGCAACAACCTGTTGAGTAACATGTGCAGCAGAAGTTTCATGTTTTGCTTCAGAACTGCTTCAAAATAAAAATGAACGACGTGGAGTGAAAGGAGAAAATGAGTGAAACAGCTCAAAAGGACATTGTAGATAAGAGAGCAAAGGTCACGTCACCAGTTTGGCAGTATTAATCAGCTTTTTTTTTTCCTCCTGTTCCTTATTTCAAATAGATAAAAAAAACTAATCAATAATTACCAATATCGACAAATATGAAACGTTTATATCGTGATTTATATAGACCTAGTCGATGTCCATGGAAGAGCCGCGTTGGGAACATGAGGTTTGATTGTGATGTACCAGTAGGTCTGSTCTGTTGGCAAAAATAGGTTAGGTTAAAACGACAACTTATTGGTTTTGGAGGTTTTGCAAAAGTTGCATGCTTAAAAGCCAAGCTGTAGTTTTATATTGATTTTTAGACTTATAGCTCTCATTCTTTTTCATGTATTTATTTCCACCCAAACATCATCTCGACATTTTTCTCTGGTCTGATCTCACCATATTTATTTACAAACACAGACCAGCCTGATGTAGGTCAACGGCGTGACTCAAGCTTTTACATGATTTTCAGTGTGTGGYTTCTTCACAGTGCATGCCCATGTTTAAGAATTTTCTTTACTAAAATGCATCTGGAAGACTACAGGAGTGAACTCTTTTAAACTGCRCCGGATCACCTTTGTCTGTTTGGTTTTATAGCTTGCACCTTGAACACTTTTCTCAGGACGTTTTAGAAAATTACATCATCCTCAAAAATAAAAACTGCTGCAGCTGTAAAGAACGATAACGGCTGGGCGGACTGATCTGAGTGGAGTGAAAACACAGAAACGCTCCAATTTAATCCAACAATGACCCAAAACTCAGATCTGTTGCTGTCTTAATCTGCATGTCAGGAATAAAATAATCATACAAAGAAAGCAGCTTAAGTGTCTAGCTCTGTTGTGCATTCTGAGCTGTGTGTTCGTGCCACCACCTGGTTTTTATGTGGTCCTTTTGAAGCWCTGAACGTCATTCTATTTTATATTTATCTCCTCACGTCACGTCTTTTTCCTCTCTGTGTATTTGTGTTACCAGCACCTGTCTTTGGGATCAGACATGAACTACTGCAGGCCAAGCTGCATAACTGAGGGGTTTTTTATTTATTTTTTTTGCTGACTCTGCTCCTGCTGGAAACAGCTGATCTGCAGCTCCTGTGAAGAACACCTCTGCAGAACACAGAGCTCCACAGACAAAATAAACAAAAAATAAAAGTTTCAATCCATGTACCTGCGTTTATACTCATCTCTCTCCCTCTTGACTTTAGCCAGCACATTGTACAGAGCTCTGATCTCAGGGGTGATGGTGTCAATCTGGACCCCAACTCCATCTGGGTGCATCCAGGACACCCCGGGGCTGGTCAGGCGTTCGGCACCGGATCCAAACTTGCGGGTGTGGTTGTACGACCAGATCGTCCCCGGGAGAAACCGTGGAGGAGGGTTGGTGGAGTTAAATGGGCCCGTGCTGCTGTTTTGGGTGGTTCTAATCGAACCAGACCCCGGAGAGTCCATGCAGGGGGAGGGTTGGCTGATGGTGATGACCGGGTTACAGGTGGCCTTGGTTTGGGTCGAACTGGAGTTCTCAGAAGATGCTGGTGCGAAGGATGCAGTGAGAGGTGGCGTGAAGAGAGTCGTGGGCCTCCTGGCTGAGTTGTTGGTGTTGTGGAAGGGAAGGGAACCCGGCCTGAGCGGTATGGTCCCGACAAACCCAGTCTGCACTCCTGCCTCCTGGGTGTTCGACCTGGTCTCGCAGCATCCACCTGCACAGGCCTTGTTGGCATCCAGAGCCTGCTGCAGCTGCTTCTCCAGGATCTTGTTCCTGCGCTCCAGCTCGTGCACCTTGGCCAGGAAGCACCTGAACCTCAGGTTGAGGGTCTTCAGGACGCTGATGTTGGATCCCAGGTCGTTCCTGAGGGCCATGGCTGCAGGGGGGTGCGGCACTGCTGCGCGGTGCTGGTAGGGGCCGCTGCTGTGGGTGTGGTGGAGGAAAGCTGCGGTCTGGTCAGGCTCACCCAGCAGTAGCACAGACGGGTCCGGTCCACCGAACACGGCTTCGGGCAGGAGTCCTGAAGGGGAGTCCGGGTGTCCTTGGCTCTGCTGTGGGTGCTGGTGTTGGAGGTGCGTGTTGSCCCCCAACAAAGGATTCATGCTATGGTATTTAAAACTAAAGCGCTGCAGATCTGGCATGAACACGGACAGGCAGTTGGTCTTTCTATAGCAAAATTATAGTATTTAAATCAAACACTTTTACTGTAAACCTACAGGGAAGAGGTGAGCGTGAGACGCCAGGGTTTGATCTGATTATATAACCGTTTAAATCTAAAAACCTTGTCCTTAAAGCTCAGAAGTCTTAACGTCGACTGATGGATCACCGCAGCTCCCTCCTTCTCTGACGGTGCACAAAAACAAGCTAACAACTAAGTAAACGAGCCGAAGCGGGCCAGGAGAGGAACACGAAACAATATTTAAACGTTGAGATAAATAAACGTGGCGAAATGAGGGGAGAAATGCGCAGAGGTTGAATGAATAAGAAAGAAATCCAGCGTTTCCTCCGCGTCTGTGAAGTCCAGGCTAAAGATGTGACCGCAGGCAGGAACAAGTGCTGCGGGATTGGAGGAGCCTCCTACTGTAAATAACCAAGTAGAGGCGCACAAAGATTTTAAACTGTGGCTGTTTGTTGTCATTCTGCTGCGATTCAAACATTTGCTTAATAATTAGTGCGTGTATAATTATGGAAAGTTATTATATCCTACTTTATATAARAAGTCATAATTATGATAAACTAGCTATTGCGTAGCATTTTACAATCATGACTCCCAAATTCCCATATTTAGGATAAGCTTCCTTGATTTATGACTTAGTGGCTCATAAATATGATTTAGCATCTCGTATTTGACGTAGCATCTAAAATAATAATGTAGCATTTCATAATTTTAGAATGCTAAGTCATATTTTAGATAGTTTCTCATACTTACTGAATGTTTAGTCATATTTTCCAAGTATTACGGTAACAGTCTGTGGCCAATACCAAAGTCGGTTTCCACCATATTAAAATAAGTCTAATCTAATAATAAATATGTTAAAATGCATTAGTGATGGACATATTTATTCCACTTGAAGCTACAACCTGAAATGATGAACTGCTTCGCTTGTTGGCAATTGTTAATAACTTCGATTTTTTTAATGCATGCACTAATCTAAAACAGACCATTGATGCAATTCATAAAAACATGTTCAAAATCTTTAAATCTCCACCGTCACATTACATGGGTATTCTAGCACAGTGGTGTCCAAAGTCGGTCCTCAAGGGTCGATATCCTGCATGTTTTAGGTGCTGCCCTAGTTCAACACAGCTGCGCTTAAGGAGGGCCTAAATAGCAGGCTTCTGCAGAAGGGGCCTACTGAAGCCCTACTTAGGTTCAGCTRTGTTGAACTAGGGCAGCACCTAAAACATGCAGGACCCCAGCCCTTGAGGACCGACTTTGGGCACCACTGATCTGGCAGAGAAACAATTTTCCAGTTGGAAGGGCCCCATGTGGCACCAGAAGTGCTACCAAAATACATATTAATAAATGAAACTGCAACTAACTGGTCTAGCTGTTGTCTTATAGATCTAGTCAAAAATTAAAAGATTTTTCCAAACTGAGGTAGTTCAAAAAGCTAATACAAGATTATATCATTCAGAATATTTCCACAGAACCACATATTTTCCCTTTAAAGCTTTGCAACTTTTACTGGAGTAAATACTGAACATGATTTGGAATGGCTTTGTGAATGAATATAAATTTTAAAAACAATCAGTTGAATTTACATTCTCCACAGTTCCAAACTAAAGCGTTCAGGCATTTTAACTTCTGTTATACCAACAGGAGGTGTGTTGAGAACAAATTCATCTTCACAGTTTTATAGCTCATTTGTCATCAGCGTTACACTCATGTGGTGACAAAAGGAAATGACTYGTTTCTCACAAAAAAGGACTTTATTCCACCTCTGACTGCAGCACTTCAGTACTACAGACAGGACGACTTTCACACCTTCACTCCAACACAACAGAACAGGGAGTTTACCAAATAAAAAAAAAATTGGTCAGACAATTAAATCATTTTTTTAGATGGGATGTTTCCTCAGGCAGATGATGAAGGGGTCGACTATCTGATGGAACCAGGTAGAATCATAGACGATACATTAAGTATGTACATTCATCACTCTGAGAATGCGGATCAACAGTGTCAAACAGTCAGCTGCTTGGTTTACTCCTTGGAAGCCATGTGGGCCATCAGGTCGCAAACACGGTTGCTGTAGCCGTACTCGTTGTCATACCTTGTAAGAGAGTAAGATAGTTAGTGGTAATCAATAGAAAATAAGTAAACGCTGTATAAGCAACGAAGGCTCACCAGGAAACCAGCTTGACGAAGTGGTCGTTGAGAGCGATGCCAGCGCCGGCATCGAAGATTGAGGAGTGGGAGTCGCCGTTGAAGTCTGTGGAGACAACCTGCAGGGGGGAAACAAAAAATAAAGTTACATAAACAAGAAACTCCACCAAGAAGATTCTCTGAAAAACCATGACCAAGTAAAGACCTGGTGCTCAGTGTATCCCAGAATGCCCTTCATGGGTCCATCAGCAGCAGCTTTCACAACCTTCTTAATGTCATCRTACTTGGCCTGTACGGGAAAGGAATTATAGATGAAAATCCAAGTTTAAATAGCTTCAATTTTAAATACACTACCTAAAAGTTTACATTAAAAAAGAACAATACTCTCATCTGTATATGTATTATGTAGCTCAAATAGGTGCATGGCTACATTTTTTCCTATGTAGTTTTGCAGAGGTATATTTACTTTGTTATAATACTCAAGTATTTTTCTTTTCCTCGAGGACCTGAAATGAATAAATAATCTTTAATTTTAACAAGGGTTTTTTCTAGTAACTTTTACTTAGGCTGTAAGGCTTTAAGTGGTCAGAGGGATCAGTAGCACCGGTGCATGGCAGCCCTGGCTCTGTCAGTGTGCCCCAGGGCAGCTGTGGCTACAACGTAGCTTACCACCATCAGTGTGAATGTTTGTATAGTGTGAAGCMCTGAAGTCCGTAGAGACTTAGGACTTGTGTTATAAAAGTTCAGACTAGGCCGTTTTTACTTTTATCTTGTTACATTAAAAAAACAACAAAAAAAAGGTACTTTTACTGCTTTACTTTAAGGTTTTACACAGTTACATTTAAATATGACTGGAACTCATCATGGAAGGAGTAGTTTCTACACTCTTTTAAAAAAAAAGAAGTGTTGAATTCAGTTTTACCATTCATTTTCTGTTAAGGCATTTTTACTTTTTTAATTTAAAAAAATGTAAGTACTTTATACACCTCTGGTTTTGCAGTACCTAGAGATGGTGAGAGAAGATACAGTATAACTCGTGTTTTTTTCAAAAATAAATAATTAAAGTACAAAAAACGGCCACTTACTGGTTTCTCCAGGCGAACTGTCAGATCAACCACAGACACGTTGGGGGTGGGGACACGGAAGGCCATGCCGGTCAGTTTGCTGTAAATTAAAAAGAGTACTGCAGTAAGATGCACTCAGTCAATGCAAAGGGTTTATGTCTGGGAGTACTGACCCGTTGAGCTCAGGGATGACCTTGCCCACAGCCTTCGCAGCACCAGTAGAGGCTGGGATGATGTTCTGGCTGGCACCACGGCCGTCCCTCCACAGCTTACCAGAGGGGCCATCTACGGTCTTCTGGGTGGCGGTGATGGCGTGAACTGTGCTCTGATGGACAACAGAAAAACAAAAATTAGATTTCCTGTTTGACATGTTAAGATTTTTGGCAGGTGGAGGGTCAGTTCTCACCATCAGGCCCTCAACGATGCCAAAGTTATCATGGATGACTTTAGCCAGGGGAGCCAGGCAGTTGGTAGTGCAGGAGGCGTTGCTGTTAAAGAAATTAAATGGTTTTTTTTCCTCCAAAAATTGTTATATTTTCATCAAAAAAATGTTAAATACTTGAACTCACCTGACAACCTGAAGGGATTTGTCGTACTTCTCGTGGTTGACGCCCATGACGAACATGGGGGCGTCGGCGCTGGGGGCAGAGATGATGACTCTCTTGGCGCCACCCTTCAAGTGAGCCTGCAAAATGTGTTGAACCCAGAATAGAAGTTTTTAATCCTTTTTCATCGAATCAAAAACACCTTATGAGTGTTAACCTGACGGGATGTACCGAGGCCTTCTCGATTGTGGTGAACACACCAGTGGACTCCACAACGTACTCGGCACCAGCCTCACCCCATTTGATGTTAGTCGGGTCCCTCCTTCAAATTCCAAAAATAAAAAGAAGAGGTGTTGAGTGTTTTTCTTTTACTGTGTGCGCATTATATGAGAGTTTACAGACAGAAGGCGAACTCACTCGTGGAAGACACTGATTTTGTGTCCATCAATGACAAGTTTGTCTCCCTCAGCCTTAACCTCACCGTGGAAACGGCCGTGAGTGGAGTCATACTTGAACATGTAGACCTGAAGAGAAAAGTTCAACTTTCACTTCAGCAAAACAAAATTAAACCCGACAGTTTTATTTCATAGATATAAATAACATAGGATTTTTACCATGTACTCCAGGTCGATGAACGGGTCATTGATGGCCACAATCTCCACCTTCTTGGAGGTGACAGCAGCACGGGTCACCAGACGACCAATGCGGCCAAACCTGAAGAGACAAAGTTTAATTTCTTAGTTGGGCCACAAGATGGCGACCTGTTTCCACACACTGGAACTGAACGTTTTCAGTGAAATAAAAAGTTTAAATCCTTAAAATAAAATAAAAAGTTTGAAATGAGTAGTTTGACATTTAGTTGAACCTCAGAAGACTCCAGATATTATAAAAAGGAGTCAAACTTTTTACTCCCTTCTTGTGGGAATATGCATAACACCCAGGAGCCATGAGACACAAAGAGCAGAGTTCAGGAGGAGGGACAGAGGGAGGTGTGTCAACTGGGCTTTTAGACTCCTTTCTGAGGATGAAAGTCTAAATGCCTCTCAAATGTGGAAATCCTTGTTTGTGACGACAGTGCACCATGTGATCAATGAGCCGAGTTGATTTTTAATCACATTTCCAAAAAGTCTGGTGCTGAAACACTATCACTGCAGAGAGCAGGAAGTGTGGCACGTAAATAAAAACAGACTGTGTATTCTGCRCGTTTTAAACTTTCCTTCCAACAGAAGACAAACAAAAAGTCCCGTTGAATGACCCTAAAGTCAAACCTTTCCTGTTATCAACTAAAGGCCAAAGTTCAAAGGTCAAGAAGAACATGTGCGGTTGGATAACAGTCCAGGGTCTGGAGCTCGTGCACCTGTGCATGTCCTCTAATAGAAAACGTGTGGCTTCAGCTGCTGTGCAGCATCACAGCAAATCAACCATGAGTGGTCTGCAGCTCATCCTGAGTTTCAGAGCAAATCAAATACACTGAGACGAGAGGACTTTACAGAAGTAAATGGAGCTGGGACCAACCAGAACCAAGAGTTTGGTCAACTTATGGATTAAAAAAAGCAATAGATTTACATCAAAATCCCCAAAATATTTATCTTCCCAACAGATAAAACCAGAATTTTTATTTTTTAGTTGGATTATTGTTGAACAGTTTTTAAGTTTTTAAGACCTAACTTAAATCTCTTACAAGAACTTTATCTTTCAGTCATACCTTGCACAATCTAATGTGCCTGTACACATGTTGCACATATTCAGATAACGACTAGTTCAAACAATCAGGGATGATGAAAACAGAAACACTGGTAAAGAAAAGGTCTCATTGTGTGACCTGATGTGACACCGTAACAAAAGTGTGGCTTAAATTTCATACATGGAGAGTGTGAAAATATTTTCTTACCCATTGATACCGACTTTCACCATTTTGCCTGGATTGGTCTAGTCCTCTGGAAGAAGAAACAAAGAGTTTAGTTCATTTTTTGTTGAACCTCACTTATTAATATTCCCTCACTGGATTAGACCAGTAATCTGATCTAAATAAAATTTAAACACAAATCTTATAAGAACATCACACTGCCTGCAAAACTATAAAAACCCAATTAAATTACAATGCAGAGCCTCAAAAGGGTGCTAAACTCCAATTCAAAGTTCAAAGTAAAAATAATTAGATAAGTTTGGTTTAAATTAATGTTAACAACTTTCTTTAAAAGTCTAATTAGGTATCCAGGAGCTCTCTGATTAAAGTTGTGTTTAATTTTTTTTCTTTTTACCGTTTGTGAGAAGACTCAGTCTGTCCTGGGACTCTGGGTGTGAGTGGGGAGAGCAAAGTTTAACCCTGACTTTTTATGATTGACTAGACCACGAAGCCACGCCCCCTTCAATGCCAACCAATCATCACCACGCCCCCTTTTTTCTGAATGTCAAGGTCGTCCTGCAGACTACCTCCTGAGGCCTCCCACTTTTAAAATCCAGCTTCTCTCTCTTCTCATCTTCTGCTCGGTTTAAAGCCTGAAGTTTGTGGTTATTTTTTAAAAAGTTTAACTCGTGGAGTCTCGGTGGGTCTGACTTTAAGAGGTCTGGATTTAGATCCTTGAAGGCCTCATAGAGTGGAGTGGAAACAGAGAAGGGGGTCCCCAGTTGACCTTCTCACTGAATGCAGACACATGGAGGGGGGATCAAATCTCTGTCTTACAGCCGGTGACATTTAATGTCCAAAGACCATGACCCTTCGCTTAAATGAGTCCGTTGCTGCTATTCTTTTCTCTGCCGCTCCATTCCCTCTGCAGGAGTCAAAAGTTGAAGCCCGCTCGCTCAGTTTGACTTAGATATGTGCAGGGGAGCGTGTCTGAGTCCATTTGTTCGGCTGAACTGTGGCTTTGTGAGGTTTATTTTGAAATAGTTGAAAGGGTTTTGCAGCTGTGGAGGTGTGCGGGATAGTGTGTGTGTGTGTGTGTGTGTGTGTGTGTGTAAGGGGGGGGGGTCACCCTTCAGCTCTGAGATTAAATACCTTCACTTGTCTTCCCTGCACACAAAACGCGACAAGGTTCAGCCGTGTCAGCTGCTGTTTCCAGGGCTATTTTTGACTCTATCCTGGCAACACAAGAGAAGGGACTTCAGATGATACAGTCAAAAGTCAAACCTGAATGAGCCACAGTGGATTGTCTGTCTTTCTACCTTAAAACTGACCCAGGACCATTCAAGAACTTCAGGCTGCTCTGAAAACGTGCAGCTCTGGTGGGTTTTGTGGCAGCTGTCCAGTGGTCCTGGCATAGCTGAACTACCACAGGCCTGGGTTCAGGCATGCCGGGCTCAGGCGCTGCTTTGCAGCTTAAGGTCACAGAGGGGAATTAAAGGTCAGGCTAAGATTAGACTCTCATGCCAAGTGCTGCCTCACACAGATCACATGTCCTTTCTGTATTACACCTAAACATTAAAAGGTTTGAACTCGAGAATCAGCACGCCTGTACATTTTTGAAATAAGAAGGCAAAACTGGAAGTTGAGTAAAAATGGTCAAATCTGGACTTTTGTGCTGTGCGTGAGTTCATTTTCACAACATGAGAGCAGAGCAGAACAAAGTCCAAGTTGCAACAACAGAGCAAACAGTTGTGCAGTCGCAGCGCCATCTTGTGTTGTGGCACAAAAGGTCAGATGATATCCATAATCAAAATACGTTTTTATTCAAACTTCGAGACAGCTTTTATGTCATAAAATATCACCATGAAATAATAATGTGTCTGTTTGTTGGTCTGCCTGTAAGTACATCCTAACACACATTTATTACTCTAGATTAGCTAGAAGTCTTCATTTGCACAATTCTCACCTTTTTAAATGCTAAACTTAGCTTGGTTGGAAAAACAGAGATTTAAAGAAAGCAGTGGCAGCTAATTTTTAAGATCATTTTATTAAAAGTTGCTGAAATAAAGAATGTGCCTTTTGCAGAAATGTCTTTTATGCTTTCAAACTTGCATAAACACATTTAATTTGCCTAACATCAGRGCCGGTCCTACCTAATTTGGTGCCCCTAGGCAAGATTACAGGTGATGCCCCAAGTACAATTTTCTAAATCTCATTGTCAATTTACATTCACATACCAAAATACATTGTTTTGTCTTTGGTGATTTTCGAACACCTGCTCACGTCAACAAGCAGCTGTGGAAAGAAGCAGTTCTATGGGGGGTCCAGGGGTATAATCCCTGAGAAATTCTATATTTTCTAGCCATTTTACTAAATTCTTGCAATTCATAAAACATAAATTCAATATGTTATGAAGGTAGAACACTGAAAACCAGACCTTATCTACACTCACCGGCCATTTTATTAGGTACACCTGTCCAACTGCTCGTTAACACTTAATTTCTAATCAGCCAATCACATGGCGGCAACTCAGTG